ATGTTTCTCTCTCATCGATGTTTCTAACTCTCTATCCCTCTCCCTTCCTCTCTGTAAAAAATCAATAAAAATATTAAAAAAAATAAAAAAGCGTTTTGTATTATGAAAAATAAAATATATTAAAAATAAAATATATACGGAAAATGTGATTGAGTGTAGGTATGGGATGGGTGTGTAGAGTCGATGGAGGAATATTAAAATGAGCTCGTGTACCCTGGCCAGTGGCTCAGTTGGTTGAAGTGTCGTCCCATACACCAAAAGGTTGTGAGTTCCATTCCCGATCAGGGCACATACCTAGGTTGCAGGTTTGATTGCCTGGTTAGGGTGTGATGTGTCTCTTTCACATCGATGTTTCTGTCTCTCCCTTTCTTTCTCTCTAAAATCAATAAAAAATATCCTTAGGTGAGGATTAAAAAAAAAAAAAGCTTGCCTGCTGTCATTCTAACCTAGGAAACTGAACATTATCCTCAGTGGGTGCCTCTGCTGCAGTCATGACCACTGGGTGAATTTTGTGCCAGTGTTCTCTCTGGCTCCTCTCTTTTCATGTGATGTAAAAGGTCATGTCCATGCTTGTACCAGGAGACACTGCAGTCTCACCGCCCTCTGTGTACCAACACCAGACAGACAGGCTGGAGAGCTGTTTTTAAATAAATTGCTTTATTGCACTCTTTTAAGCAGGAGAATATACTGGTGACATCAAAGTGCTTCCACAATTTTTCAAAACAAAAGCCTTCTTTTCATCTCAAGGAGAATCTTAACACAGTTTGTTAACAGGATGAGGTTTTGACAAACCAGGGCACTACAGTGGACCCAGCAGTGACACGACCAGGAATTGCTTCCATGAGAACAGTTTCCAACCCCCATCTAGGCCGTGTTGATTCGCTCCAGCAATGCTTCTCCAGTGTATTTCAGATGACTTTCTGGTGTGAGCGTTTGAGTTCACTTAGAGTAAAATCATCTTGACAGCTTCGTTGGGAGGCGTTACTTATATTAATGCAATCATTTAAAGTATTGAATAGATCCTGTCCGGAATAGCCTCTTGGGCAAACCATCCTTGAATGTGCTTTTTCTGTTGTGGCTGGGATGGATGTTGTTTTGTATTCTCCATTTGCTTCCCCCTCCCCCTAACCGCCAAACTGTTCTGGTTCTCCATCCAAAATAGAAGAACATCAACTTTTGGGTTTGATATTTGACCCCTGGTGAGTAGATTCCTCAAATTTTTTGACCACTTATCTCATGATTTTTCAGGCTCTTTTCATTTGACTCTGTCTTTTCATTTGTTTTCTTGCCCTTCAACTCTAGAGGCAAGATTTCTTCCTCAGGAAGAAAGTGAGCTCAGCTCCTGTTGCCATGGTGAAGCGTATGTGTGCGTTAACATATACCAGGGATCTAGAGTTGGGATAGGAAAACATTGGCATATCACTTCATCTTCTCATTTCATTTCAGTTCTGTGTTTTTATTCCTGAGGCGATTGGTTCTTCGAGGATTCAACACTTTCCCTCCCATCTATGGGTTGTTAAACTGAAGCTTTCGTATTTTTTGCAGCGATTGTTGCCACTATCCCCTGATTATTAATTCTTCAGCCGAAAAGAAACCTATTTACTCTCCTATTCAGGCCGATTCCAGTGGCAGTGCCTGGAGGATGTAGGTTAGAACAATAGTTTCTCTACATCTCAGCGTTCTTTACATTCTCTGTTTTCACTAGCCCCTGAAAACTCTCTATGACTCTGAGGACGAGCCCTCTGAATTCCACAGTGAGCTCAGTGTGTGTTTCCATGTACTCCCAAGTCCCTTAGAGGAAGTCTGCACAAAGCACCCCATTCCCCCTGTTAGCAGGCCAGCCAGCTCCTCCTGCTGGGGCTGCACGGAATGTGGTCCCAGAGGAAACCTGTGTTTGGTTCCTCTCGTTACCCAGACGGGAGAAACCTCCCAACTGTCTCATTCAGGCCCCTCGTGGTTGGTCAGAGACGGCAGCGCTGTGCACTTTGGGGTCTGTCCTGTGCGTGGTGACCGCGGGCAGTGTTACGCAGGGCGTCCGCTGGGCCTGCTCCCTGGGGTCAGCTGTGCAGAGACTCAGCGTTTCAACAGGGGATCCCTCTCCCCTCCTGTCTCACGCATCACGATCGCCTAGGACACCTCCAGTCTCTAGACTTGGGGTGCTCATCACAAGCAGAGGAGCCCAGGTGACCAGCGTGGTCGCTGCAGCGTGTTGAGGGGGACGCGTAGAAGAGGTCGGTGAGGTGGCCAGGCCTGTGAGGACTGTGGCCTGATCCTGGCTGATGTGAGGGACCCTGGAGGGTTCTGAGCAAAGGAGTGATAAGAGCTGCCGGGCATTCGGACTGGATCTCTCTGGCCAATCCCTGGATTGGCTGCAGGTGAGTGGGTGAAGGCGGAAACAGCCACCAGCAGGAAGCCACTGAGATAACCAAGTGCAGTATGGTGGGGCCTGGACCAAGACGGCAGCGAAATTAAGTCTGTCTTAAACAGATTGCCCAAAAGCCATTCAGGGATTTGGCTAGTCTTTGGTTCAAGTTCCTGGCTGGGAACGTGGACGCTTGGCCTGAGACCATCTGTCAATCACACTCAGGGTGACAGTCTTGCAGCCAGGCCTCGGGGCAGGCCTGGTTTGGGAAAATCCTTGAGAAACCTTATTTATTGACTTTAAAGACGGCCTTTCCTTTCGGGGCTCCTCACTGTGGGGAACACCGGCGGAATCACAGGGTAAGTCAGGGTTGCCAGGCTGCGCGCCGCTTCCTGGAATCAGGGGTCAGAGCGGCCAGCCTGGCTCTGCCCTGCGTGGCGAACTCCAGGGCCCGGGGCTGCCGTGCTGCTGTCCACAATGGCAAGGGACGCCCTTTGTTTGCTTCTTGTGTGGAAGGAGGGCTTGTTTTGAGGCTTGGACCACAAATAATCATCCATTGTTCCCTATAATAATAATCCACCCTCTTTAGCAGAAAAAATCTGCCTGGTGTAGTGTGGCTATCGGCTTATTTGAAAGAATAGCCAAAAGTGCCCATTGTGTCCTGAGAATAAATATTTGGAAGATGGTTGTGAGGGCTGGGAGTCCCAGTTAAGACTCAGGAAGGAGAACTTCTGACTGAGCCCCTCCGTCCCGGGACAGTGCCTCCTTACTCTGTTGGTCCGTGACATTCTGAGAATAATTGGGACACTCCAGATACGGATTCTCTCCAAGTGATGTCTTAGAAAAAGACCTTATTTTGAAGATGGGTGTTTTTAATCTTTTCTGAATTTGCTCTCCTGGTTTCCAATTTTAGGTCAAATAAGTTTTTTTGTAACCTTCATTGCTTCCATGGAAGTGTCTCTTTCTGAGGGAAGATTATTTTATTTTAGCAGCAATCCTTCATAATTCCTGCAGTTGCCTCTGATTATGGATCTTGGAGGGAAAAGCTATTTTTATATTCTGACTGATAGGATTTTAAGTACTATTTCCTGGGCTTAGGCTAACTGGAAAATGTCAACGGGTGAATTAAAATGGGACCCAGTGTGGTCGACTACTTCGTGAGTATGCATGTACCTAGCACACCGACTTCACCAATGAAGGCATGGTTCTGTGGGTGGGTTAAATAAGAAAGCATGGCTTTTAAATGACATGTCATCTTACCTAGAATAGCTTTCATTGCTTTAGATATAGAAGATAAGCCCTGGCCGGGTAGCTCAGTTGATTAGAGCATCATTCTGATATGCCAAGATTGCAGGTTCGATCCCCAGTCAGGGTACATATAAGAAGCAACCAGTGAATGCATAAATAAGTAGAGCAACAAATCAATGTTTCTTCCTTTCTCTTTCGTTCCCTTCCCCCTTCTTATCCCCCACTCCCTCTCTCTCTCAAATCAATTTTAAAAAAAAGGAAGATGAGAAAAGTTCAGTGTGCTAGCAACTACAATGTAACACGTGAATGTGAGAACTCGTTCCCTTCCCCCTTCTTATCCCCCACTGCCTCTCTCTCTCAAATCAATAAAAAAAAAAGGAAGATGAGAAAAGTTCACTGTGCTAGCAACTACAATGTAACACGTGAATGTGAGAACAATTTGAAGAAGAATATCCACCCTGGCTGGTGTGGCTCGGATCCCGTACACCAAAGGGTCATGGTTTCAATTCTCCAGTCAGAGCATGTGAGGGAGACAACCAATCAATGTTTCTCTCTCCCTCTCCTTTCCTTTCCTCTCTAGAATTAAGGAAAACCATACCTTCAGATGAGAATTTTTTTTAAAAAAAATTAAAGAGGTAAAACTATAGCCTCCCACATCTTTAAAATCAGACCATTAGAGCCCGGGCAACATGGCTCAGTGGTTGAGCGCCAACCTATGAACCAGGCGATCACAGTCTGAATCCAGGTCAGGGCACATGCCTGGGTTGCAGGCTTGATCCCCAGTAGGGGGTGTGCAGGAGGCAGCTGATCAATGATTCCCTCTCATCATTGATGTTTCTATCTCTCCCTCTCCTTTCCTCTCTGAAATCAATAAAAACATATTTTAAAAAATAAAATAAAATCAGACCATCAGAGAAGCAGCCAAGATGTCCTTCAGCAAGTGAATGGATAAACTATAGTAGTGCTAAAAACATCTTGTTACTAAAAAATAAAATTATCCCAGACCATCAGCAATTTATCCTGTTTGTAGGAAGTACCTGGCTATAGAATATTTTGACAGATTTATATAGCACATGATGGCAGCAGATTACTGTGTGTGTGTGTGTGTGTGTGTGTGTGTGTGTGTGTATAGTAATTTTCTTGTATCTTTGTCATCTTCTCTGATAAATATGCACTGTGGTATTTATGCTAAAGCCTACTCTTTTTTCTTTTAATTTTTATTTATAGCTTTTAGAGAGAAAGACACAGAGGATGGGAGAGAGATGGAGAGAGAGAGAGAGCGGAACCAAACTCATAACTTTGGCACATTGGCTGATGCTCTAACCAACTGAGCTACCCAGCCAGGGCCATGCAATCCTACTCTTAACCCTTCCTGTTTCTCTCTCTCCAGTGACTGCTGGCGTATCAGCCTTGGAGGTATACACCCCAAAAGAAATCTACGTGGCAAATGGGACACAAGGGAAGCTGCCGTGCAAGTTCAAGTCTGCGAACACCACCAGCAGGTTGACCACAATCTCCTGGAGCTTCCAGCCAGAGGGATCCCACACCACCGTGTCGGTAGGAGTGCCTGCCTGCCTGCTCTTGGCTAGTCCTCCCGCAGAGGGTTCCCCGCCCCTGCAGTGTGTTCAGTGAGCCTTCTGACCCATCTCTCCCAAACCCAGTGAGGCTGTCGTCTGGCACAGACTTCAGGGCGCTTCTCTTGCTCCCGGCTGTCCAGGAAAAAACCAGTTCAGTTTCTCTTAAACGCAGCTTGTTTTCTCGTGTTTGTGTGTCACGGTCACCTGCCATCCCTCCCGTCTCCTCCACCATCACATCCCATTTTGAAATGTATCTTTTCCACAGCGCAGCCCCTGACTTACCTTGTTGACTCCATTCACAATTCATCCTGCATCTGTTCAGCTGCCATTTGCTTCACTTTTATTTGTATTTCTTTTAAGTATTTCCACACACACACGCACACACGCACGCATGCACACACGTCCATTCGTTCCAGTGATGCGCCCACACGCACGCGCACACACGCACGCATGCACACACGCACGCGCACACACACACGCGCACACGCACGCATGCACACACGTCCATTCGTTCCAGTGATAGTCCGGGAGCTCTCCGTGCAGCGAGTCTGTGAGGTGTTCAGAAATGGGGGATAGCAGCCTGTGCTCTTGCCCGGGAGCAATTAGGAGTAAGACTGTCGATGAGTCACCCTGAGGAGGTGGCAGAACAGAAGTACAGGCCGTGGGGTTGAAAGGAAGGTTAGTCAAGAACCAGATGAGTGCTGGTTAGGCTGGGTGCTTGTTAACCAGGGCCCCACGCTCCGCCTCTCATCTGTGAAGTGGAGACTGTAGAACTTCCGCAGGGAGTGCTAGGAGGATAGCCCGGGGCGAAGACCTTTATCTCCAGCGAGTCACTGAGTGCTGAGCCTCACTTCCTCCTTTGTGACTCTCTGTGGGACCTGTTAGCAGCTATGACCTTGAGGAAATGGCTTGAGTCTCCCTTTTATGTATAAAACTATGCGTGGTTGTCCCTGTATCGCGGGGATGTCGAGAGGAGGAGAGAAGAAACCAAATCCCTGTCTGGCTTAGATTTCGTGACATTTGCAATGGGACGTGTTTTTTTCCCTTTGAAGTCTTTGTGAAGAGCCCGCACAGCACACCGCATGCGCAGCGTGGAGAACGCCTGCCTTTGGGAAGCGCTCACGTGTCCTCTTTCTCTAATTGCAGTTTTTCCACTACTCCCAAGGGCAAGTGTACATCGGGGACTACCCGCCCTTCAAGGACAGAATCACCTGGGCTGGGGACCTCGACAAGAAAGACGCATCGATCAACATAGAAAATATACAGTTCATCCATAACGGCACCTACATCTGTGATGTCAAAAACCCTCCCGACATCGTTGTCTACCCGGGATACATTCGCCTCTATGTTGTAGAGAAAGGTACCTCTGGAGTATCTGGGCAGCAAAGGCGCCGTCCCCTGTGTCGTGTGTTGAGTGGCAAACGAGAGTACGTTGTGGGGTGTGTGTGCCGGGAGCGACCTGCCAGTGGCTATGCGCCCTGTTTCTGGGAACCTGAGGGTGGGCACTGCTGCCCACATGCGGGGTGAGCAGCCGGTCTCTCCGTGTATTCATCTGCCGTCCGAAGCCCAGTGGCCCAGGTTCAGGAGGATCACTTTTTCATGTGAATTAGAAGTAAGACCAAATTCACGATGCTCGATGGGCTGAGCCTGGGGAAGAAGGAGGCCAATACTGTCTCAGTATTCTCCAAGAGAAAGTGTTAGCATTTGTGCAAACAATACAGCGGTTTCTTCCATTTTTGGAGAAGCAGCAGGAAATGCAGGTTCTGGTGTCTCCCACGACGTCTGCTTTGTGGGTGAGTAGATGGAGGTAAAGCCACATCCCAGTTTTGCTTGAATCCTAGCGCATTGAGAAGGATTGTGTGTGCAGAAAGGCTGAGTTCTGTATCTCATTTTCTATCAGCTACTCTTTGCATGTCATTACTTAGATACTAGGATCTCATAATTTGGATAATAATAGAGGGTATGATAACTTGCTTCTTAGTTGAATAAAACTCCATTTCTTCTCTTTGTCACAATGGACCTTAACACTGTTTTGTTCTTTCTCTCCAGAGGTGTTGCCCATGTTTCCGGTGTGGGTGGTGGTGGGTATCGTGACCGCTGTGGTTGTGGGTCTCACCCTCCTCATCAGCATGATTCTGGCTGTCCTCTACAGAAGGAGAAGCTCGAAGCGGGATTACACCGGGTGAGAAACTGCTTCCGGGGAGGGGAGAGGGTAGGGACCAGGGTTTACAAAAACGTCTGTATTTTTTATGGAGAAAAGAATTGGGAAGAGTTTGCTACTAGTACAGTTTGCTTTAATGCCAGAGTCAGGCAGTCTGCTTAGGTGACTAGTGGCCTGCTGGTCAGTGTGGGATTGGACACAAATCCCTGTTTCCCAGTTTCTTCCCCAGATTTGGTACAGCCAGCGGCTCAGCGGTCCAGGCTCTGTTTAAGTACCAGCCACTCTGCCAGTGGCATTATTAAGCCACAGACATCACTTACCCAGTTTCAGAGTTTAATTTTTATCTCTTGGCAATAATCTCATCAGGTGCTTCTTTTCAGTTAAACAGCTATAAAACGAATCAAGAAGAGTTGTGCTAATAAATGACCCCTCCACCCCCATGGGATGGCACAGGGCTTCCTTTTTTATAGTTTTGCTGGCAAGTGAATGACTTTGATCTTTCTTGAATGTATGGCTGGACTCATCGCAATGGAGATAATAAGGGTTGAAAACCAACATATACCGGCAGTAAAGAAACGTAGATCTTTTTGTTTATGTCTTCTCAAAGAGAATACCCTTGAACTCGGGGTGTGAGTCTAATTGAAGGACCTTCTCTTCTCCCTACGCCAGCTGGAAAGCTAACCCACATAAGCTAAGTAGGACTCACGTGGTAAGAGAGTGGAGGCCGATTCCTAACACGAGCTGGGCCCCAGGTGCACGGGCTAACCACAGCCACCCAGAGGGACTGCTCTGAGGCTGCATGCCCAACTGCTGCCTGGTGGATGCTGGGAACCTTTCTCTCTCTCTCTCTCTCTCTCTCGGCTCTGAGGTTCTAGTTTTTAGGAGTGCTGTGTTTTAATGAGCTTGAGTGTTCAAATTCAGATTTTACTTGCTTGGAATGCCTCTGTTCTGCTGACCTGTATCTACCCTCTTGCATGGTGAGTGTTTTTTGATGACATATATCTGGAGTGTTGGTTTTCAACATGAGACTAATCCAAAGTGGTGACATGCCGGACTCTGTAGTTCTTGCTCTTGGGTTACTAAAGGGGCGGAGCGCGTGCCTTCGAATCCTGCATGGCATCGTGAATGCTGCTGTTCTTCTTACTTAGGTTCCCCTCCCCTGCCTTTCCACCTCGTGTGCTGGGATAGATCCTGCTTATCCTCCACTTGATCAGAAAAGCTGACCCTGGGACTGTCACAGGGCTGGCTCTCCTACTCCCACTAGACACATGGTAACTAATCCCATTACCCGTGGCTGTTAATACTCATGTGTGTGTTCGGCCCGTCTCCCTAGGTGGCAACTAACCAGCTAGCTCTGAGCTAACCCAGCAGCTATTATGATTTGTCCACCGATAAGTCCGTGTCTATTTTAGAAACATACTGAGCACATCAGCCCAGTGAGATGGGGTTGTCAGGTTACATGGAGGCTTGAGATCATCGGAAAATGCATGTTCTTCATGTAAAACGTCTGTGTGTGTGTGTGTGTGTGTGTGTGTGTGTGTGTGTGTTTCAGCTTTCTTTTTTATATGTGAATTGTATTATTAATGATTGGGACACTCTTTGTGTTAGAATAGTCAAACCATTTTGGTTTGGGTCATAAAACCTCCCGTTTCAGAGAAGCACAGTAGCGAATTCATTGGGGGCTTCAGTCGTAGGAGTGACACTTAAAATGGGATCCTCCCAAAAATTCCTCTAAGATTTAAAAAACATACATCATAAAGGATTTAAGCTCTGCTGATGACACATCCCATTAGGAAATCGCTGATGAGTGACCGCCCAGTATTCGCTTTCCCTGATTTATTTATGAGATCGGGCTTGTTGAGGATCCCTGCCCGGAAGGGCTCAGCCCGTGTGATGGGCATTCCACAGCTTCTTGTCACTCGCACCCGGGTCTTCTTTAGTTTGGTCATTGTCTCGGGGAAACAAAATATGGGGAACCAGGGAATGGAAGGAGTGAGACAAACCAAGACTCTGAGCCTGAGTGTATATCTGTAATTTTTGAAATGCATTCAGAAGAGGTTTGCCTTTGATGCTCACTAAAGTGAATTGCCTTTAGGAAGGTATAGCTGCTCCCTTAAGTCTTTATCCCAAAGGAGGGTGGATGGCAGAGGGGAAAGGCGGGGGGCCAAGGATACACAGCAAGGATCCGTCCAGCTGATGTCGCTCTTGCAAACAGGCCAAGGGCTCCCACTCCCCAGCAGTAGCTTCACAGATGTGGAACCACAAGCATCAGGGAGACAGTTTCAATATACGTGATTCTTTCCATACCATTGTTTCGTTGTTTTGTTCATGTACATCTGCTGCTTCTTTGCCTCGCCATCACTTGCATTTCTGTATTTTTGTTTCCATTTGTTTAAAAACATTCTTTTTTTTACATTTGTTCTCCAATTTGCCGACTGATCAGCTGCAGCACCTCAGAGAGTGTGTCACCGGTTAAGCAGGCTCCGCGGAAGTTCCCCTCCGACACAGAGGGGCTAGTAAAGAGCCTGCCTTCTGGATCTCACCAGGTAACACTGGCTGCCCCGGGCTGTGCAGGTGGGCGCTGCCACCACCCTGGTGCGGGAGGGAGTGCTGAGCCGCGACACAGGGAGAGAGTGACAGCCAGCCAGACAGACAGACAGATGAAGACAGAAAGAGAGGGAAAGGAGTTAAGGAATCTGCCCTGAGCGAAGGTTCCCACCAGAGCACCACTAACAGACTGTGCCCTTAGGATGTGGCTCCCATGGCCAACGTAGAGTCAAGAGTCGGGAGATGGCTTTGGCAGCCGTAAAAGGTTCCTTAATTGCTCAGGGAACTAAATCCAGTGAATTGCATTCCTCACTGAGGTGCTTTAAAGACAAGGAATCAGCAGGGGACATTGATCTTGGTATTGATAATAAACAGAAAAATTATTTTGCATGAATTCTTTTTTTTTAAAGATATATTTTATTGATTTTTTACAGAGAGGAGGGGAGAGGGATAGAGAGTTAGAAACATCAATGAGAGAGAAACATTGATCAGCGGCCTCTTGCACGCCCCCTACTGGGGATGTGCCCGCAACCAAGGTACATGCCCTTGACCGGAATCGAACTTGGGACCCTTGAGTCCACAGGCCGACGCTCTATCCGTTGAGCCAAACCGGTTAGGGCTGCATGAATTCTTTTTAAAAAAAAAAATTTTTTTTTTTATTAATTTCAGAGAAGAAGGGAGAGGGAGAGAGAGAGATAGAAACATCAGTGATGAGAGAGAATCATCGATTGGCTGCCTCCTGCACGCCCCCCACTGGGGATTGATCCCACAACCTGGGCATGTGCCCTTGACTGGAATCGAACCTGGGACCCCTCAGTCCGCAGGCCGATGCTCTATCCACTGAGCCAAACCAGCTAGGGCTTGCATGAATTCTTTAGAAGAAGTTGAAGGTCGGCCTGTAGTGAATAATGAGTAGGCCCCATGAGCAAGCAGAGGCTTACGCTGCTACTTGTTGTCGGGAGCACTGAAGAGACATAGCTTTATAGGAACCTGCACAGCACCCAGCGCTGTGGCTGGTGCCGTGGCTGTGCTGTTACGACTGTAACTGTGGCAGATCCCAGCAGCCCGACTGGAGTCTCAGAGGAAAGGGAAGAGGAAAAAACGTTGAAGAAGTCATAGCCAAACACTTCCCAATCTTTCAGCCACTTCTTCTGGTATTTATCTTCATATTGTATTTCTGTTTCTGGAGTTTTCAGTTTTGGATATTACTCATTGACTCCATATTATGGAAATGAGAATTTAGTTCTTTCTTCCCCCTAGCCCTTCCTCCCAACACACACATCCCTACTATATGCATGCATGCCTCTTCCCAGGATGCTTAGCTCACTATATTGAGGTAGATGTTTTTCAGTGTGACGTGGTACCACATATATTTGTTTCTTGTACAATTGTCTTGTTTTTATGGAGCTAATATGTGCCTTATTTTTATTTGCTCAGTCTTCTAAGTACCTATCTGTATCCATCTCAAAGCTCTCCCATGAGAACCCCTGGGAACACTCAACCACCCTCATGCACATGCTCCATTGGTTTCATTCTATTCCTGGAGACGGGCCTGTTCTCACCGCGGCCTCTGCTGTGCTTTGGGCTGCTGGGCCACAGTCCTCCTAGGCCTCCCCTCCCGAGGAATTTCCGGCCCCTCTTCTTTTGGACCGCATGTCTTCGCCTGTTTCGTTTATTCCCATGTTGTGGTGGAGCGTATCCTCCGTAACTTCTTGAGAAAGGGTGTACGGGAGATAGAGATTTTGAGGCAGCGTAATAGCCTCCAAAGATGTCCACGTCCTTGCCCTGGAGCCTGTGGGATGTATGACCTCACCGGTCAGAAGGGGCCTTGCGGCTGTGTTAAGGATCTTGAGATGGGCAGATTTTCCTGAATGATCTGTGTGGGCCAAGGGTGACCACAGGGAGGCCGCAGGGTCAGATCCAGAGAGATTTGAAGAGGTTATGCTGTTGGCTTTGACAATGGAGGCTGGGCCATGAGCCAAGGAATGAGGCAGCTTCCATCTGCTGGGAGGGGAAGGAGACGGGTCCTCCCTGAGGGTCTGGCAGCGGATCTCGGCCCTGCTGACCTTGATCACACCTGGGTCAGCCCTCTGACCTCCAACACTGGGAGCTGATACATGTTTGCAGCACGTGTAACATTGCTTTCTCCTCCCTCGGCTTGAATGAGGATCTGGTGGCGTAGATTCCAGGTGGGAAATCACTTCCCTCCTGCGTTTGGCGGCGTTGCTGACTTTTCCGCTTCTAGTGCTGAGTTGCTACTGTTCTGATTTCTGCCTCTTCGCGTGCCCTTTCTCAGAATGGTTTTTATTCCTCATGTTCTGAAACTGCACAAAATTGTGGGTCTTCTTTTATTCATTGTGCTGGCTATTCAGTGGGTTCTTTTAATCCGAAAACCATGTCCTTCGGTTTAGGATATTTTCTTCCATTAATCTCTGGAAATTTTCCTCCTTTCATTTTCTCTCTTTTGGAAATTCCTGTTAGGAATTGGACCATGTCCTAGCTCAATCTTTTCGTTTTTTTTCCTTTTTTTGTTTTGCTTTTTTTGTTCTTTCTAGAAAATTTCTTCAACTTTATCCTCCAACTTTTTTGAGTATTTAATATCTGTTATCTTTTTTGGGGGGCCATAAAAATAAATCTATATTTTTATATGGGGGGGAGGAGTAGAAAAGAAAGCAGCCCCTGTACTGGACCCTCCTCAGTGGCAGCTTCCTGTTCCGTAGGGTTAAGGAAGACTTGGAGGAAATACAAGTTGTTGGGGGAAATCCAGGTGCAGTTGCTTTATATGTTGTGATGGGCAGAAGCCTGGAGTGCATGTGAAGGCCCCGCACACCCTCCACCTTGCCTCAGACTGTGTCCGGGAACCTGGGGCCCAGAGAGCGCCAGCTTCCTTCCTGCCTCTTGAGGCCCACAGCAGGAAGAGCGACACGCCCGCATGTTGGCTACAGAAGGCGGATGGCGAGCTGCATCTGTGACGTCCTGACCGGCGGGCTCGGCTCTGACGCCAGCTCAAGAGCTGTTTCTTATTCTCTGGTTATAATATCCTGCATTTGGGATGCATTGTCGTATCTCTTTTTTTTAAATATTTTATTGATTTTTTTACAGAGAGGAAGGGAGGGGGATAGAGAGTTAGAAACATCAATGAGAGAGAAACATCGATCAGCTGCCTCCTGCACACCCCTCATTGGGGATGTGCCCGCAACCAAGGCACATACCCTTGACTGGAATCGAACCTGGGACCCTTCAGTCCGCAGGCTGATGCTCTATCCACTGAGCCAAACCGGTCAGGGCGTCGTATCTCTTTGAGTATATCATTTTCTCTCGTTTTGCAAGCTCTGTTTTTTAAAGCTTTCTTCTGATACTGATTTGGCTCTGTTTCTGTTGAAGTCCCCTTTTCTCTTATAATTTCTTTGTCTCATGTCAGAAGCTTTCTTGAAATGCCCAGTGGTCCTGGGTTCTCCACTCAGACCCACGGCCGCAGGTCTGAGCTGGAGCTCTGGGTTGTGGCTTCGCTGTGTTAAAGGGCTGGCTGGCTGCGTTTGGGGCCTCCATGGTCAGTTGCTGAGGGTCCTTTCTCTGGAGTTGGTTGATGTCTCCACAGGGAGTTGAGCAGAGAATGAAGAGGGCTCACTGTTCAGTTCATGAACTTGCCCGCCCCAACCTGTTTTCAGGGCCGACCCCTCCCCCTGCTTGTCCATGGCCCTGAGTCAGGACTGGCTCATCTCTCCTGGCGTCACTCCTCTGCCGGCCCAGGCCTGCCTCTGGCATTTTCTGCAGGATGGTGAGAAGTTGTTCAACCCTTGTGTCAATTCATTGTCTCTTTTCAGCATTTGTCATGTAACACCAGAGGGAGTTGAGAAAGGATTTGTAGCCATTTTTACGGTGTCTCTCATGTATAAGCTCCTTCTCCCACGAGCACACCCCAAAACTCCTTATGGGTGTTTATGAATTACGGTGGGGGTGTTCTCTGGGAAGTTACATACAGTATCAGGGTCTGTCCTGTCCTTGGAAGTGACTGTAAGCAGGGGTCAATTAGCTCGCAAGAGAACACTGTTTTCCTTCTGGTCCTAGTACTGTTAACCCAGGGACAACGCTGGGTTGCATACAACTTTTGACTCCTCCAAAACTTAACTGCTGTCTATGACTGCATGTCTTATGGTGGTAAACGACAGAATAGACTAGCATCCACACATGCTCCATGCATTCGTGCCATACCTTTTTCTTAATTTTTTCGATATTTCGAGGCTACTCCTTTCATCTGTGTGGTTTTTCAAAGTGTCACAAATCTCCAAAAAGCTTTCCAGTTTATTATTGAGAAAAATGTTCATATAAGGGGACCCCCGCAGTACAAACCCAACTCGTTCAAGGGCCAGCTGTAGTGGAAAACAGGTTTTGTGTTTTTCAACTTCTCTTCCTTTTGGGCTTACATTTAACTTGCAGCTTCCTGGCATGAATGTAGAGAGTCTCTGACTCAGTGTTAACAATGTGATGTGATAGTACCCACGACAGATGTGAGAGCATCACATACCAACCTGAAGGGGCGGGGGGCGGGGGGGCATCGGTCTGTTGTTGCACTTATTGATGCATTCATTGGTTGCTCCTTGTGTGTGCCCTGACCAGGGATTGAACCCAAAACCTTAATGCCATCAGGACGATGCTCTAACCAACAGCTACCTGGCCAGGGCAAGGATGTTTATTTTAAACTACTTGCTTTTAGCTGCTGAGCTTATTAGTTCCAAGTTGAAAGCTTAAGTACAGCATTAGACTTCTCAAGGAGACTGCCCCTGGATCGTAGGCCAGTTAAACGCGCCTTCTGAAGCCAGGGCTCTTCTGTTTTTCTTGTTGCTATTTATAATTTTAGAATCTCTGGGACTCTAAGGTCAGGATGTGCAGCCACCTGTCAGATGTTTGAACCCCTGACCTCGCCCCGCTGTCACTTTAGTCACTGCTTCTACTGCACCTGAAGCGACCACCCGGTGTTC